TCGGTGCATCCCTACTGACCAGTAAGGAAAAAAAAAATAAAAGCTGAATTCAAGACTTTTTCAGGGAAGATGAATATATTTTATATTTATATATATATTTATATAAAGATGTATAAATCAGGATTGATCTATATAAAAAAATCTAGTTGTCCAGATTAATGTGGGTCACTGCTAGGACACAATTGTTTTCTATGTGTCTCATTTACAACACAATGCAGATGTGATGGGCTGGGCGCTGGTACACTTTGTACACTCCACATAAAGTTTTTTTTTTAAACTAAACAGTGACAGCTCCAGCGGTGAGTGATACAACACACACTATTAAAAACGCAGTGTGAAAGGGCCCTCTGAGTGTGTGTATGTTTTTATGTATCTGAGTGCATGTATGTATGAATGTATCTGTGTATGCGCAAAATAAATACAGTCATACAGTATGGCACCAATAAGGATTATGAGGACAGTATAGCACATACTGTCTCATATACTGTATTCCTTATTGTTGAATTACATAACGCCTATTAATAGCATGAGTTTGAAGATACCAGTACCAGTGCCCCATTTTTACTTTTTACCACTCAGTCCCCTCATTATATAATCATTTCTTCACTCTTCAAAATATTTAAAGTTTAAAGAAATTATTACACAATGAAGGGTAAAAAGGGCAATGAAGGGTAAAAAGTAAAAATGGAGCAAGACATAAAAGTGAATACACATTACAGTGAAAGTGTGCTGGGGGGGGTGTAAGGAGTTCTATAGTGTACTGGTGGAAGGGACTCAGTTAGTGCTAATGGTCCATGAGGTAGGGGGGCCCTTGGCTCTGACAACTCATGCTATCCCACTGCCCTGGGGCAAACCACTTACAAACTTAGTCCATTTAGAGAATAAACCATTGATCACTACTCTCTGGATTGTAATGATTCGTGCAAGCACAGCAAGATATATAGGATCGCAGCTGCGGAGGTAAGTGGCAATGGTTCAGGTGGAGGGTTCACAGTTACACTTTAGTGCAGTGAGTGAAGTCGGAACCCCTTACACATCATACACCATTTGTTTCTAATAGTATTTTAGTAGTGGCAGCAAATTCTCACAGAACCACAATTTACCAGCATTGGGGCCTGTTAGGATTTGTAGTTCACTCGCCCTAGTTAACTTCACAAGGGGTGATGACCGTAGGTAACTACAAGTAATACGCTGGCTATGACAGTTCAAAGTATAGGTTATAACACGGTTGGTATCCTGGGTTTAGTTAGCTTCACTAACCCAGAGCATGGAAATCAGTTAATTGCTAATAAGATATCACAGTCCTATGCAGCAGTAGAATGGAATCAAATGACAATGAGAGAGGATGAGGGAATAGCGGAGCTTCCCAGCTAGGTATCAGCCTTCCACACTCCAATTGATTGCAACATGTGTTTAATGGCTACTTGCTGTTTGGTGGGGAATGCAGTCCCAGGATGTGATGCTGAATCCACGCTGCCAGGAGTCCAAGGATGATAGAGCCAGTGTTTTAAAGAGGCTGTAGCAGGCTCTCCTGTTCCAAAGCTTCTGTGCAGTTCCTAAGTAGCTTGCTCGACGTACTACTTTGCTAGAACGCCGAGCAAGTGGTCAGCCTACATTTTTGTAGGCAGAGAGCGGTGGTTGGGGGTGGAGCCGGAGGCGAGACCCAACCCGAGCGTCTCCTAGCAACAGGACGCAGCTTGGCCAAGCTCACCACGTCATCACGCTGGCTCAGCTGATGAGCGAGGGGAGGAGTAGAGCGCTGAGGAACGACCGCCTGTCGCCCGGCAACGAGACGCTGCTGGCAGGGCCGTCCCCGCCATGGTCTCAGGCATCGGAGCGATGTTCGTATCTGACATGGATGCGTTCTTGTAACCAGTTATCTATCCATAAACATGCACTTTCTTCTACAGCAATAGACCTTACTTTGTAAATTAAAAACTATGAGGTGCAGTGTCGAATGCCTTAGCAAAATCCAGATATACTAATTCTGCTGCTTTCTTCCATCTATACTTACTTTCTCCTAGAACAGGTTGATCTGTTAAGAATGATCTCTGATACATTCATCCATGCTGGTTTTCACTTAACATTTTCACTAACTCTTGAATAATGTCCCCTACCAACCCTCCAAATATTTTACATTACACTATTGATGTTAGACTGACTGGTGTGTAATTGTCTTGGCATATATGAAGGTGTTCTGCTGTGGACTGGGGTGTTTTTCCCTGATTTCTCCTTAGGTGAGTATATGCAGAGGAATGAGGATTTCTGTGCCTCACACCTCTCTGGACCTGTCTTTAACGTGGGTCCCCTCGGCCTAGGGTCACTGTCTGCAGGACTTCCTGTACTCCAGCCACTCCTGCCTTTATTCGCCGGAGGGGATGGGGTGTGTTTGCCTGTGTGGGTATGGCTGTAGGAGTGTGGCTACTTTCGCTGGCACCCTCATTGCTGTGAGAGCGGTAGGTGCCAGCACACTATCAGGTGGGCAGGGTTGCCGCTCCTCCGGCTGTGACTGTCCTCTCCAGGCTCTGCCTCCCTGGGGAGCAGGATGGCCACGGCCGCTATGTCCGTGGGAGGACTTCTCGCAGGTGGTTCACACGGACAGGGAGAGTCCACCAGTCCCGAACAGAAGCCACCATGTTTACTGAGGTACCTGCCCTCTCACTGCTTCCTCAATGTGGGACGCCTCTAGGGGCTAGATCAACGGTGCTGGTGGGGAGACCTCCACTTTTCTCAGCTGGTGTGTGCGGCTCAGCCTTGTGCATGTGTGCTCCTCTCTGCTAGAATCTGCACGTGGCCTGATCCTGCAGAGGTTCAAGTGGCCTGCTCCTCTGTGCGGAATCCGCGGCAGACCTGGAACTGAACCTGCTGGTCACGATTTAAACCCTGGAGGAGTTTGGGTGGCTGAATCTTTGAAAGTCGTCGTTGATCCCATCACCTTGTTTGCAGTATCAGGGTCTGATTCTGGACTCCAAGGTGACCAGGGTGTTTTTGCCATGGGAGAAGCTTCTTAAACTTCAGTCCCATGTTTGACAGCTGTGCGTTTACAAGAGTTCCTCTCTTCACTCTGCCATGAAAGTTCTGGACCTGAGGCGGTTCTTTTTGCCCAGCATCACACCCGGATCCTTCAGCGGGAGATTTTGTCACAATAGGACAGGCTTCTTGGGTCCTTGGACAGGGTTTTTTTCTCATCAGACCAAAGCTTTCCTGGGGTGGTGGCTGCAATCTCCGTGGTTACTGTCGGAAGTCTTTTCTCCCTCTGTGCTGGAAGATAGTTACGACAGATGCCAGTCTGTTCGGATGGGAAGGAGTTCTAGGCGTTCTGTTGGCTCACGGAGTGTGGACCGAGGAGGAATCCAAGTTGTCCATCAATGTACTGGAGCCACGGGCGATCTTCCTGTGTCTTCGACGCTGGACAGTTCTCCTCGAGGGATATCCGGTCCGGGTCCAGTCGGACATTAGTCATCAATCATCAGGGCGGAACAAAGAGCTCAGTGGCGGCACGGGAGGGGGCTCAAATCCACAAATCCAAAGATTACATGCCGGCTCTATCAGCAGTTCACATTCCAGGGGCGGGAACTGGCTGGCGGATTATCTGAGCCATCAGGGTCTAGATCAGAAAGAATGGTCCCTTCACGAGGAGGTGTTTAATCAGATCTGTCTTCGGTGTGGTGCGCCAGACATAGATATCTTGGGCTCCAGGCTTAATCGGAAAGTTGTGAGGTTCGTGGCCAGGACTCGGGACCCTCTGGCGCATGTAACGGACGTGCTGGTGGCTCCGTAGGACAGGTACTCTCTGATCTCGACATTTCATCCCGTCAAGCTGCTACCCCACCTTTTGCAGAGAATAGAGTTGAAGGGGATTCCTGTGATCCTGGTGGCTCCTTTTCTCTGCGTTCATAGAAGGGCATAGCACCCACAATGGTTTTACTATTTTGCCGTTTTGTGTTTCTGCTTGCTAATCGCTGGTTGATTGTTGCGGTCAGGGGGTTTGACCACAAGCAGGGACCTCCCCTGGGCTGCTTCCTTTTTTTTGCCCGGCGTTCTACTCCTGCAGGTGTCGATATAAAACCCATATGGTGAAGACCCTAAGGTTCTGGCTGTGTCCTTCAATGAACACAGAGAAAAGGATTTTACGAGTACAAAATCCTATTTTTTCTTTTGTAAAACTGAAAAGAAAAGTTTATTTAATACATTTGACTTATCCTTATCACTTGTGACTCACTCCTCACGTCCATGTTTTATGGGGCCGATGTGTTCTTCCTTACATTTTTACTATTAATTTGAAGAACTATTCAAACTATTCTAACTATTCATACTATTTGAAGAATTTTTGTTATTTGTTTTATTTATTGTAGGAATGTGTTTTTTTTCATATTCTATTTTAGCTACCTTGATTGCCGTTTTTTTTGCATCTCTTTGCATTCTATTTTTTGAAAGACCGCCTTTTCTCATTAATTTTCCTTTTTACAATAAATTGAGCCACATAGGTTTACATTTTATTCATTTATATTTGTTGTCCATTGGAATAGACTGGTAAATTCAGTTGTTTAAAATGTCTTCACTTCAACTTGTCTTCTGTGTTCTTTGTAAATATTTGATCCCAATGAATATTATGCAGTGCAGAGCACAGCTTAGTGCAGTTAGCCTTTTTGAAATTTAGCATTCTTGCCATACCAGCATGCCTTTCCTTCCTGCAACTTAAGGCAAATGTTAATACATTATGATCACTTTTACCCAAATTATTTGAAATTAATTGATTTAACAGAGCATTTTTCCTAGATGGGGCTTCCATTACCCATGAAATTTTCCTACAATAAGCTCAAGAAATGAACAGCCAGAGTTAAACAGAATACTGAGCATGGCCAGTGCTGCACTAGTTTGTCAGAAAATAAATGTGATATAAACTGACAATATTGCTCTTGTTTTAATTTCTTGTGTCCTCCATTGTTCTTATTTCTTCCTCACACTGGAAATTCTCATATTTGTTCTTTTGTTCTTAGATTCAGGAGCTCCCTGTTTACTATTATGAGACACTACGGTTCTTAGTTCGACATCTTAAAACAGTAGCTGACCACTCGGAAAAAAACAAGGTGGGACATTTTTCTGACACACTGGGAAGTGCAAGCTGACCTATTCTGATGCACATATTATGCTATACTATACTAAGCAGCATTCATTCAGCATCACTTTATTGCAGCAGTAAACTTTATCAAAATTACATTTTGACACTTATTGATTCTTCTATTTTGAAATTCAGATGGAGCCTCGGAATCTGGCTTTGGTGTTTGGCCCTACTCTGGTCCGGACATCTGAAGATAACATGACAGACATGGTGACACACATGCCAGATCGCTATAAGATTGTAGAGGCACTGATCCAACATGTAAGCAAACATCATATTGGAAATGAGCAGAGTAGGCAACTATTAGTTAAACTGTAAGATATGTATGATACATATGTTTCTCATTTTGCAAAATATTAGTAAATACTTTGTATGAGTGTGCACACCCCCCTCCATCGCCACTGCCGAGTATGTCAGGCTCTGCTGTCCCTTGTGTGGGTCGGGGACTGACACAAGGGGTGTCTGCAGCTTAATTGGTGGGAGATTAGAACACTCTGCTAATGTGTCTGATTTCCCTTTCGATCACTGAAACTGGAAACAGCTTCTTTGGGGTCCACGGGTGAAATTAGGGGTCTAATAGACCCATGAAGTCTCTGTCCCTTCCGTGTGCTATCACGTAGGGGATCCCCCAAAGTGATAGCAATAAAGTTAACTGTTAACAAAAAGTTTAATATATTAAATTGACATAAAAAAATTAGAAAAAACACAACAAATATTTTAACTACACACACACACACGTGTTGGGTGAAAATGGTGCAATTTGAAACTACTCTGCACAAGGACTCCAAAACGGTTACGTTCCAGTTGTGAAACTGCAAATTGATTAAGGAGATCCATGATATTGGGAAACAAATACTGGTGTTGGAGTCGCAGTGTAATAATACGTATAACCATGTTTGTTGAGGGTCATGATGACAAATTGGAACGGTTAAGGGGAATGAACCTGTCTCTCCTGTCTCATTGGAGAACTCTGAAACCAGTGACCGCAGATCTAATGTATGCATATGGGGTATTCCTGAGATTGATTTTGATTGGATCCACCAAGCCCTGACTAAATGTCCAACACTCGAAACGCCAGGAGACATTATTGTCCGCTTGCTTCTTCATGCTGGGAAAGATCCCTCTTTTGAATTTCAAGGCTACACTTACCAGCTTTTTGCTGATTTGTCCCTGGCAACCATTGCAATAATGCCTTTGTGTATTTTATGTTATACATGGTTTTGTGGATTGCGAGATGACTGTGGTTCGTCGCGCGCTGATGACGTAGGACGCTGAGGTCCTGAGCGCCGCCCGTCCACGGACCTAGCATCGCTTGCCTTGCAAAGGGCAATGTCCTAACCGGATATAGCCAGCTCTCTCTCTCTCCTGTCTCTCCCCTGTCTCCAACGGCCTACCTTCACCCCACGATTAGCGCCATAATAATAATCGGGCAAGCACACGGCACCTGGGAACAGCAGGATCATTGAACGGCTGGAGGATACCTGGAAGATATCTGCTTGACCTCGGATGCAAGTTTACCAGCCATATATTGTCATATATTGTACTCTATTGCATACCGGAGGCTATTGCATACTATATCAGCTTACTGCATACCGCACACTGTATATTGCATACTGGTCCACTGGCTTTTTAAACCACATCCAGGACGCAGTCCAGGATATCCAGGATATATCTAGGAAACAGCAGACTGTCACAGTCCAGGATATCCAGGATGCAAGTATACCAGCCATATATTGTCATATATTGAACTCTATTGCATACCGGAGGCTATTGCATACTATATCAGCTTACTGCATACCGGTCCACTGGCTTTTTAAACTACATCCAGGACGCAGTACAGCATATCCAGGATATATCTAGGAAACAGTAGACTAGCATTATATTGTGGTTTTTACAATTCAATCTATCCCATTAGCCCAGCGATACTAAATCAAAGCATGGGGGGTAAGGAAAAGAAGAAAAAGACACAGCAGCCACAGGCACCATCGTTACCACCAGCGACTACAATGAGGAGAAGCTCTTCAACAAAAATTGGAACATACTTTACAGGTACCCGTTCAAGACTATCTGTGGAGGGGGGAGGTAGGTTGGAACTGGCTACCCACACACCTACGGGAGGTCGGGAAAGGGACAAAGTACAAGTTAAACTGGCACAAGATCATGCCATACATTCACATACCAATTTGAATACTCTGAATACTAGAACATCCCCAAATATATCCAATGAGACATCCCCTAGAGGGAGACTGGACACTCAGAGGGATCAGAGAAAAAGTATGCATAATTATAAAACCACCTGTTTATTGGAACAAGAGCAAGAGCAAGAGGGGGTGCAACAGCAGGATATTGGAGAATGTCTGTGATCTCTGCCAAGCAAAAAAGATATGGAAGGTTATATTGCCAGATTAGAAACGACATACAAGGAAGAGCTGAAGGACTTAAAATCCGACATCTCTATTATAGGAGAACGAGTTAATGGGCTGGAGGAAAACATGGATATATGGATTTCCAAGTTTGAATCACAATAACAAATTATAAGCAACCAAGCAGTGATGATACAGGATATGATGTATAAAATAGATGATATGGAAAACAGGAACAAACGTAATAATATACGGATAAGAGGTATACCAGAGACAGTGGAGACACACGCTCTCTTGCAAACAACAAAGGCTATATTGAATGATATAATGAATAAAAGTCCTGAATCCGAAATAATCATAGATGGAGTATATAGAGTACCCGTTTTTTTTAGAAGAGACACTACAAGAGCTAGAGACACTATATGCCGTCTTCATTACTACACTGAGAAAGAAGCCATTTTAAAAGCATCAAGGGTCAAGGAATTACTGACCTATGATGGACATACAATAACCATGTTTCCAGATCTCTCAAGACAAACACTGATGCTTAGAAGAGCCCTGAAACCTTTATTAGGGATTTTTACAGTAAAAAGAGATCAGATATAGATGGGGTTTTCCTTTTCAGCTGATAGCACATAAGGTACGGTCAATTTGGGACGTTAAGGGAATGTCCTACATACAAGATGAAAAGAAATGTACATATGTATTGAGAATAATGTATGTGATGGGATGTGTATGTGGTAGTGGGAATGTATTGGAAAGGTCATATGTAAAATGCATTATGAATTATGAAACTATAATCTGAAATGAATAATTTAGCACTGGGAACTTTTAATGTAAGGGGATTTAATGCACTAGGAAAACGTTCACAGGTTTTATATCACTTATATAAAAAAAATAGATATTTTTTGTTTTACAGGAAACACATTTTAAGAAGGGGGATACCCCTGCTATTAGAGATAGGAATTACACGAAATGGTATCATAGTACACACCCAGATAAAAAAGCAAGAGGAGTATCGATAGCAATCCACAAAAATGCACAGATTGAGGTAATAGACATTACTATAGATGAGATGGGGAGATTTGTGTTTGTAAAATTTTCTCTTTTTAAACAAACATATTCACTGGCGAATATATATGCACCGAGTAAGGGACAACATAGCTTTTGCACTAGGATACTGAGTAGGTTTGAACAATTTGGGGTAGGTACAAAGTTGGTGATGGGCGATATGAACTTAATTTTTGATAAAAGCCTAGATACTACAGGCAAATCCTCCCCCCCCGGGAGAGGTATTAAAGAGTCTTAAAGATAAAATTAATAATATGAGACTAGTGGACAGATGTCGGGTATTACACCCCACAAAAAGAGACTATACTTATTTCTCTCAGGTCCATGGAACATATAGCCGGATAGATCATATTTGGATTCATCAACGACTATTGGACTATGACCCAGAGATAGAAATGGGTGCTATATTATGGTCAGATACCATAAACAACTTCATTAAAGACCATCAAAATGATACTACTTCATACCCCATCCAATGGGAAAGCCTAAAATGTGTTGTAAGAGGTATATTTATTAAACATGGAGCCAGATTAAAGAAAGAGAAGGCAAGTAAATTGAAGGGATTATTTAAGAAATTAGAAGAATTGGAGGTAACAAATAAGACGAATGTAACAACAAAATACTCTACTCAACTAAACGAGGTGAGAATGGACATTCGGAATATTCTGGACCAACAAACATTAATCAATGAGATAAAAATAAAAAACAATACTATGAAGTAGGTAATAAGTGCGGGAGGTCACTAGCTCAGAAAATACACCCAAGAACCCCTAATGCTAATATATTACGAATTAAAGATAGGGAGGGGAATGTAAAACACTCTCCGTCCTCGATAACAGAAACATTTCAAAGTTATTATGCATCATTGTATTCAATACGAGGGAAGTATGCAGATATGGCAACAAATAAATATAAGAAAAAATAAAGAACTATATAACAGAAGTAAATTTGCCTGTAATAGATATCGAGGACGGAGAAAATATGAATTTGATATTTTCAGAAAAGGAAACTAAAGAAGCAATGTCCACACTACAAATTAGTAAGGCTCCTGGGCCAGATGGGTTCACAGCCCGATTTTATAAACAGTTTGAAGAGCAGTTAATACCTATTTTAACAAAGACCTGCAACTCAGTTACAGAGAATTGTCCCTTTCCTACACAGACAATGGAGGCACATATATCTGTACTCCCTAAACCAGGTAAAGACCTAACAGAATGTGGACATTTTCGCCCAATCTCTCTTATAAATATCGATCTGAAGATTTACGCAAAAGTATTGGCGGCCAGGTTAAAAAATGTGCTCCCCCAAATAATTAACCTGGATCAAACTGGATTTGTTCAGGGAAGAGAGGCTAGAGACAGCACAACTAGGGTTATCAACCTAATAGGACTCGCCCAGAAAGAAAATATACCAATGTATCTTCTGTCAATTGATGCTGAAAAAGCATTTGACAGAGTGAAAAGTGGGATTGGGTGAAATATTTGTAACTAAGGTAATGGCATTATATACACATCCAACTGCAAGAGTAAAGGTGAATGGGGAATTATCCGTCCCGTTCCAAATTTTTAATGGAACCCGGCAGGGATGCCACCTATCACCCTTATTATATGTCATAGTGATGGAGCAATTGGCTGCTACTATTAGACAAAATCCTTCGATAAAAGGTATTCTTTCAGTAACACAACAACGTAAAATGGCATTATATGCAGATGATTTACTTTTCTTTATAACTTCCCCATTAACAATAATCCCTAACATCATTAAAGAACTTAAGGAATATGGGGACCTGAGCAATTTTCACATAAATATATCAAAGTCAGAATTCCT